TTCTTCTTCTTCTTCTTCTTCTTCTTCTTCTTCTTCTTCTTCTTCTTCTTCTTCTTCTTCTTCTTCTTCTTCTTCTTCTTCTTCTTTACATACTAACACACTCACCAGCGATAGATGCCGACAGAATCAAGACAAGAACAGCGAATAACATCCTGAAGACAGCAGTTGTGTTTTGCCCTCCTCACGATCTGTCCTCGACTGACTGACTATATAAAGATAAGCAGCTGGTTAACCCTTTCATAACTGAGACGTACCAATCTACTATTAATTCTTTCTGCAGCCTTTCTACAGCTACTCCTTGACTCGTTCTTACTACTGCCTCTCAGCCACACTCCAGGTCTGGTGGTAGGCAAGATCTAACACCTAGCCTTCTCGAATAAGGTCAAAAAACCTCGAAGGTCCCGAGTGCAAGTTGCACAAGATAAAGATCCCTTTGTGCTTCTGGAAAATATGGGAAACCAGAAGTAACAGTAAAGGGCGAAGGGGGGTGGGGGTGGAACCATTATTAGAAAGGAAGCTCAGTCAAGACGATGGGTAGAGCATTTTAACAGTCTCCTGAACAGACCACCGCCAAGTAACTCGCCAAAAATCATGCCTGCAAGAAATGAACTACCAATCTGCTGAGATGTCCAATCAAAACAAGAGATAATGGATGCCATTAAGAAGCTGAACAACGGTAAAGTGGCCAGTCCTGATCAGATTCCATTTGAGGCCTTAAAAACAGATGCCAATGTGACGGCAGAACTCATTCTCCCATTGTTTACCAGGATCTGGAATGAGAGCAAGTTCCCAAAGGATTGGAAAGAAGTACACCTTGTGAAACTACCTTAAAAGGGGATCTCAGAAACTGCGGCAGCTATCGAGGAATCATTCTTCTCTCAATACCAGGTAAGGTCTTAACAGAATAATTCTGGAGAGAATCAAGTCTGCAACGGATTCAAGACTTCGGGATGAACAGGCTGGTTTTCGGAAAAAATTGGTCAACCACGGACCAGATTGCTACGCTGATGACAATAGTAGAACAGTCCCTGGAGTGGAACTCCTTGTTGATCGCCAACTTTCTTGACTCTGAGAAGGTCTTTGACAGTGTAGACCGCTAGCAACACTGTGGAAGATACTGAAACATCACAGAATCCCACAGAAGTCGGTTAACCTCATCGGAAGCATGCACGAAGGGACAAGTTGCAGGGTTATACATGATGGCCAGCTCACTGACAGCTTTGACGTCAAGATCGGTGTGAGACAGGGATGTTTACTATTACCTTTCGTCTTTATCTTGGCAATCGACTGGCTGATGAAGGAAACCACCAGGGGACACAGAAACGGCATAAAGTGAACCCCATTGACACAGTTGGACGATCCGGACTTTGCAGATGACTTGTCGCTTCTGTCACACACACAGAAAGAGATGCAGGCAAAGACAACAATTTTAAACAGTCAATCAGAGTCTGTTGGACTGAGAATCCACCCCAGAAAGTCAAAAGTTCTAAGGATAGATGCACGGCGAAAGGAGCAGGTCACAGTACAAGGAAATACACTAGAAGACGTCGAATCCTTCTGCTTTCTTGGGAGCATAATTGACAGAAAGGGAGGAACAAGCGCTGAAATAGAGTCCTGCATTGAAAAGGCACAGACTGCATTTATTTCTTTGAACAGGATTTGGAGGACCAGGGATATCTCACTACGAACAAAGCTTAGAATGTTCAACCCTGAAGTGAAGTCAGTCTTGTTGTATGGAAGTGAGACGTGGAACGCATCTCAGACGTGCATAAATAATAATGATAATAATAATAATAATAATAATAACAATAATAATAATAATAATAATAATAATAATAATAATAATAATAATATATAACATTTATATACCGCGTTTCCCAAAAAGTAGCTCAATGCGCTTTACATTGGAATACCCATTTTCAGAAATCTTTTTTGCTTACTTCCCCTTGTTCTCATGCAATAGATATTTATGCAAACACACACACACACACACACACACACACACACACACACACACACACACACACACACACACACACACACACACACACACACACACATACACACAGACTATTTTCGTCCTGAAATAGGAACAGAACAACTATAATGAAAAATAACGTTAAAAGTTTATGAAGGATAAGCCTGTAGGAACAGAAAATGTTTAATTTCTTTTGAAGCTCTCAAGTGTTTTTATTTGTCTTAGTTTCATTGGTAATATGTTCCACATAAATGGACCAAGATATGAAAAAGATCTCTCTCCATAGGGTCCAGGTTTTCTTAAACAAGTGTCTTAGAAAGCTACTGAGGATCAAATGGACAGACAGGATCACCAACGAGGAAGTATTAAGAAAAACGAGACAGAGCCCAGTCAGGGATGAGGTGGGAAGAACACATTTGCGATGGATTGGACACTCTCAGGAAGTCAGGCAGCTGCATAACAAGGAAAGTGTCAGATTGGAACCCACAGGGTAAAAGATCAAGCGGAAAACCACGTGAAACCTGGAGAAGAGTCACGGAAATGGATATACAGAAAAGTGGGAAGACGTGGAGTGACCTCAAGCGACCAGCCCAGGATTGGGAAAGGTGGAAAGTGTTTTTTCGTGGCCTATATCCTGATCCAAGGTGAACATTTCAATGATGGTGATGATTGATTAAGTATGTGTGTTTGCCATTGTAACTAAAATTTCCCCACGAGTATCAATGAATTGTAATTTATTATTTTTACAATTTTACATAACAGCAGTGAAGGGGTTAAGGAAGTAGGTATCTTAAGCCAGATACACACCTGTCCGATTAGTGTGTTCTATAATGTGTGTCACGACGTGGTTGAATCAGGTGTTTGTCTATTTTGGTGCACATGGGGTTATTGGTTCACTTAAATTTTTATTTGTGAAAAAAATATCCATTTATGTTAAATAAAAGTCAAAATATTAGCGATTGTAGTAGGTCAGAGTCGCAGGTTTCAGAGGTAAAATTAGCGAGAAAATGGCCGCCATAGTTTGGTAACTTCCATAACCAGGGAGCCCTTGGAAAATGAAAGGTTGCATTTCTTCGGGCTTTAATCAATGTTTTTAAATCCACACAAAAATGTGTTTTTAAATGGACATAAAAGGTAAAACGCAAACTCCCACCCCCCAAAAAAAATGAAAAAGAAAGAAAAAAACAACCCCTGCCCATCCGCCAAAGGAAAAAGCCGATTTTTACTTTCATTTCATTATTTTTGTTGAGCGCCTGATTTCACCACGATGCCTCATAATCATATGTAAAAAAGATGAGATAAGGATTATCCTGATTGTCCTGATGCCAGCATTTTTTAAATTTTTTTTGGGGGGGGGGAAGTGGAGGGGAGTTGTATTTCACACACACACACACACACACACACATATGACACAGGATGTAAACATCACAGGTTGAATAAAAATGGGTTTTTAAATACTTTTTATATTTCTGGGCGTGTTACGTTTTGTACAAGTTGCAAGCAAGGCAAAGAACCCAGGTCCATGTTACTATCGTTGGCCAGAGGAAAATATGTACAAAGCTCAGTTTTAAAGAATTTTTAGAAAAGATTGTAGTTTCTTAACTTTGTCATCGGTTGCATAATGTGTTCAAGAATCAACTTTGTCCGAATTAACATTCTAAATGTAAAAGAACAAGAAAAATAGACTTTAGATAGGTACACTCTTTAACACGAACAACGTTTGTTTGTTTGTTTGCTTGCTTGCTTGTTTGTTTGTTTCTGTGTTTGCTTGTTTCTTGCTTTTTAATCTCTCTCGTTTAAAATGTTGAGTTCTGGATTTAGTACATTTAAGCAGCGTGCAGACGATATAGCTGTTGCAGAGATGCAAATTTTGTTGCAAAATTTGATTCTGATGCGGCTGGCTGTCTCACAGAAATTTCTCTGCCTCTCTTCTCATTCACTTCCCTCCTTACTCACCCTCTTTTTTTACCCATCCCCCCTCCATACTCATCCACCCTCAAAACAGTGACGGGGCGCCATTGGCGCATTTGGTGCAAGCACTCCACCTTACCCCGGCCTTCTCCCCCCCCCTCCCCCTCTCTCTAATTGTCAGTGCTCTGTATTACTGTATTATCTACATCCTAGCGATCCGTCAACAGTTGGCTGTGCCAGTGAAGAAACAGATAAGGGGATGAGTGGAGAGTGAGAGAGAGAGTGAGAGAGAGAGAGAGTGAGAGAAAGACAGAGAGAGAGAGAAAGAGAGAGAGAGAGAGAATGAGAGAGAGAAAGAGGGAGGCACGCAGGAGACAGACAGACAGACGGACAGCTTGACTAGCTGACAACAGTACCCCTCTATCCAGCCTTGACTATCAATAATTTATAGATTGTGACACCAGCCATCCATGTCCAGGTGCTCTACACCCAGCCTCCTCGGATAAGGGCAACCGATCTTAGAGGTCCCGTGTGCAAATTGCACACCTTAAGGATCTCTTGGTGGTTCAAAATCGATTAGAGTGAGCTTGGACTGCCACCTGGGTAAAATTTAAAATTTTCTACTAATTGAAAATGTTTAATGTGTTCCGCGCACTCACATGACCTTATGCAGTTGCGAGCGCCGTAAAACATTTACAACAAAAAAAAAAGCCACAAGGTCAGCCTCGTCACTGCCAGTCAGGGCTTTCCGGTTTGAATACAACATCGCAAAAGAAAGACCGAGAAGCTCGACAAGAATGTTTACTTATTTGGGAATATTAAAACTCGAGTCTCCTGCCTTCGACGGCGAAACGCATAACCATTATACCACAGACACCATTAGGAAAACAAAAAAGGGCTTAATAGGTTTAAAACAGATTTGACCTAGGTCATCCGCATCATAGAGACCAACATAGCACTAGTCCAGCCAAAATAAAATGGCGCCCGCTATATGGACGAAAGTCTTCACGTAGTCGTTGGGCCGTTTCTGAAAGCTGAAAAATAGTTCAGTATACCTGGCAGTCGTTAACGTTACTACTAAAGCTCAAGACTAAAATGTACTGATTACACTCTTGCAACATTTGTAAGCATAAATAACTTTATTAAAACTTCTATCACTCTCATTACATATCATATCAGAAACTTCTATTTTCGTTGCATCTGCTGGAGTCTAAAGCTGCCTTCAAGCTAGGCTATCTACATACGGAAAACTTTACATTCGTGGTGTATGTGTATGATTGCCACGAAAGGTTAAGAACATAAATTGCTGATTACGTTCTTGCCAAAGTATTATCTACGTACATTCCGTAAGCATTAAAAAAAAACTTTTTAAAAAACCAAACAAAAACAACAATAAAACTACTATTTGCATTTCATAACAGGAACTTGTTTTTAGTTCTTGCCTCTTGCATTTGTCGCAGTCT